GTCATTAAAAAAATTAGTAAAAAAAACATAATTTTAACTAAAACCTGGCTTGAATATTTTATCTTTTTAAAAAAATATTTCATCCATATTGTTTATGCAAATGTGACGAATGTAATCTGTTTTAATATATTGCGATGTATAATTTTAAAATACAAAAATCTCCCAAACAGAGTGCGCGAAGCGAGATCGCGGTATTCTGTGTCTAATGAGGCGGCGCGTTTGATGTCCGTCATCCGTCAAACATTAATGGCCGCCGCCGCGCCGGCCGGCTGGCTGGGACGCTATTAACATCGTCGTATCAATCCGATACACTCGATAGTCGATAGCTTTGACAAAACGAAACTCATTTTCTCTTTTTTAACCCGTGATTATAATGATTGATTTGTATCGAGTTTTGATGAGATTTCTTCAAAAGTAAACTTTTTCATATAAATCAGAAAGGTTTCCAGGTAGATCAGTCATCCAAATTGAATCTTAAATCTATACATTTTGTGATAGTCGTTCTTCAAGTAAATAGAAATGTTTACGTTCCTCACTTTACAGGTTTGAAACCAATTCGGTTACTCGATAACCCTGAGCAAAGTTGTGTTCACTCGCTCCTATTACAAATTCAATATTCACAATCATCCAGCCATTCGAGTGTGAACTTTACGTCAACTGCAAAAAGCACACAATGGGAAATCAATTACATCCTAATAAGCATTATTTTGAAAAGCGCGATGCTCGAAGCGTGTCTATTTGTGTTAGCTGGATTATACACGTACAAATTTGAAACACGATTGTTTCTTATTGCAACAATTAATTGTAAACCTTATGTATTACACTTAAGACCTACTTTAGTTTGTATTTATTATGAAATGTTGTAGAATCTGTGTTGTTGATTGTACGCCATAATTTATCTATGAAATACGCTTGTTAAATCGGTTGAAAGCAGAGCTGGGGTGAGTTAATTTGCACCGTTAATTATGATAACGTGTAGATATCAAGGGAATAGAGTTAGAACATTTTATATCATTTATGAATGTTATTCTTCGCTTTGTTGGTTTTCTTTTTATAATTGTAATAACATTATGCATTATAAAATTGTAGTACATAGATCGTCAAGGATATCTGACCAGGTGGGCATAAGTCAAACTAAATTATAAGAGCTCACTAGCGCCACCCAGTCAATATCAAAAAAGCGTTACAAGGTATATTCTTTACCACAACGATCCTGTCATGTGTTTTTCTTTTGTTTCATTTTTATATTCATTTCTTCACAACATATCGAAGCAAATTGTCTTATTTATTGGATCTCAAATGTGAGAAACAACGAGTCGGTTTCATACTTTCATAACTTTAACTTAATTATAATATTATCTCACGAAAGTTATAAATAATTAAAAGCCATTGTTTACTGTAAAATAAGGTGACTTGTTCACAATACAGCATATTATCTAATACAGGTTCCTGTTATCGGTAATAGTGCGGAGGGGCCGGGGTGGACGGGGGGTGGGGGGTGTTATTTTTTAATTCGCTTTCGAGATGCGCAGGCGCGGCAGGGGACAGCAAAAACCAACGGATGACATATGGTGCGAACACAAATATACAGTGTGTTCTGAAATTTTAGTTTTGAAAATATTTTTGGCAAATTAATATAATAAAAAATATCACTATTGTTCGAAATAAACATTATTTTTAATAAAAAAAACATTTCATTCAATTAATTTTCTCAATATAAAGAAGACGATCTGAACTGAAGTCCTACTAATACTATTAGAATTGGTGCTTTTTGTCATAATATCGAATTTTTCGTTTTTGGAAGTATGTTTTTATGAAAAATGACCTAATAATCCTAATGGTAATGGTCTAATTCATTCAATTAAACTTGTTAGGCCCCACAATTTTAAATAGACAAAATAAAAAACTTTAGAAAACCCCCTGTATACATGTGAAAAAAAATTATCAACGTGACTTTCAATCACAACAAAAAGACCCGTATTGATGTTGTTCACGGAATAAAGTACTCTATCATGTGGGGAATAAAGTAAACATTTATTTGTCTGCATGCGTATAGTTTGTCGTAAGTGGGCCGTCAATTAGTGCGGAGAGCCACCACTTCACACGGCTATAGGGCGCGATCACACTAAAAGTTAACACGCATAATAATAAATAGAGACCCATAGGCTCAGTGGTAAGCGCGCTGGGATACGTTCAGAGCTTCTGAGGTTTGAGTCAAATAGAAAATAAAACATTGAAAAAAAGACATTTTTAGTATCAAAATCGAAGAAATATATGTAATTATTTAAGAGATATAATGTTAAGCGTAAAATATAGTAAAGCAAAATTGTATCTATTAATCATAGCACTTACCAAAGGATTAAATAATGACGATGTCGTAATTATTGAAGTCGCAAAGCTAACGTAGTAATATAAAGCTGATAAACGCATAAATGATTTTAAATTACACATTTATGTGACAAAACTCTTACTACATATTACAAAAGTTACGCACGCGACTTTGTGTACTATAAATTATTATCTACTACTAGCTGTCGCCCGCGACTCCGTCCGTGCGGCATTAAAAATAGATCTTGGCCGATTCTCAGACATACTCAATATGCTCACAAAATTTCATGAGAATCGGTGAAGCCGTTTCGAAGGAGTATGGGAACGAAAATTGTGACACGACAATTTTATATATAAAATTATATTGGTCAGAGTTTTTACTCATATATATTTTAAACGCCGAGATTCTAAACTTCCCTACCATATTAAACACGAGAGTTGAACATATTGTAATTTATAAGTGTAAAGATGAATCTCCCCTTGCGGCACGTCCCAGTAGTTTTTGCTGACTGCTCGTTTTTGTCTCATTAACGCGCCCAATATAAAGCTTGACGGTTAGGGAGTTTCCGATAACCAATAAACGTTTTTTATATACTTACAACATAGTTACCTGATGTTAAGAAACAATAGATCTAGGGAAACAAATTATATTTCTAAGATTAAGAAAGACCTGGTATTCATAACAGTAGTAAGGTTAGAGGTTTGTTAGAAACGAACAATTCAGTCAGTACAAGGTCTCTGTCTACTCCTCTAAGTTAGGGGTGAGTCGTAATGGTTCTCAATATAACGTATTCATGTTTGTCACGACTTTCTCTAGCAGTAATACTGCAGTTTGAATAAAATCTTGTACCGTATCATTTCTCGGTAGCGCTGAGTCATTGCGAGACAAATTACTCACGTCATCGGCTTAAGTGGCCGCTGTTTTTTTACTTTTTAATACAAGCAATTGAGAGATAAGGCTCTTGTTATACTTCTTTATTAAATTAATTTTTGTGATTTCTTTGAATAAATATTGTAGATTATTAAAATACGGCTAACTGTCGCCGGCGACTCCGCGCGGTATTAAAAAAAATATATTTAATAAGTCCCCTGTGTGTGCCAGACTATGTTCTACATCTGTGCCAATTTTCAGCAAGATCCGTTGAGCTGTTCCGGTGATACCTTCTAACAAACATCCATCCAAATATACGCATTAATAATATTAATAAGATATATAATAAGTAGCAAAATTAAATTTTGTAGTCCTAATAATCTACAGATATTGAAATTGTTACAAAAAATGAGAAAAAGTTAGCAAACTTAATTGGTGGTTAGTGATCAACATTGTTTGTTTACCTAAGTGTCAAAGACAAAGTGTTAATCGAATTATAACAAAATAAAACTTAATTGAAATAAACATTAAAATCTTTTACACCCTAAAATATATAAGTACAGCAGTACTAGGGTTATATATATCACTTAGTATAATCATAAATAATACTGATTAATACGTGAGGCGTGAAGCAATTAGTGTGTTTAGATACGCACTAAGAATAAACTACTGTTCAACAAACAAATCTTAAGTTACATTTATATCACGCGATACGAGGACGACACGACATTTGTTTTCTTAATAGATGATCTGAAGAAAAAACATTAACACAAATAATATTCTTGATTTAAAAACTTTTAAAACTGTAGATCTGCAGGGCTATATATAAGTACATCTCAATATCTATTATTGTGATTTGGAATTTATAATACTTGATCAAAAAAATACTGCAATGTTAAAAATGTAATCCATTTATATTCTTTTTATTGTTTACAACTTTAAATGATATATGAAACTTATTTAATGACACTATACCCACCCGACTGACCACCTGTACCTTCCTTGTGTGTGTACCTTCTAACTAGTCTAATTTAATAACGTAAGGGAGAGGACGTGTCGTGTATTGTAAAGCGGCTCAGTTTTAATTAGTGCCACCATATGTGCTCCGTCACGTCACGTCACGTCGCGGGGGACGCTTGCCGACCCTCGCACCACACACCCCGCACTCCCCGCACTCTGCCACCTTGCTGATAGTATAATTATCTCGCTTTAGGACATAATACGCGGTCTAAGTTGTAAGAATCAACATATTTTTAACTTTAAAAAAGTTTAAATAATTTCAGGAATCTAACACGTACGTAACCTAAGCTACAACAATTATCTTTTTATAAACAAAATATTTTTTTTCTAATTATGTAAAAAGATTTTTAAAGTAAAAATCAAATACTTAAAACGCAATACTACAATTTTTTTGGTCAAAACGATACTGTCATATTTAATAATAATTTAATCCGTTTATTTAGATCAGAATTGTGATCTCTAAGTTTTAACAATTTTAAAGTAAAACCGCTGTATCTTATCACTTGCGTCGCTCATGTGAAGAATAACAGACGACGTGTGGGTTACGGCAAACGGCGAAAGCGTTTAATTCCGTCGTAGATTTCGGGGAAGACGCGACCGCGAGGTGATGACCCATTAAGTAATTAGTGATGTCGAATGACTGTAAACTGCGCAGCTGTACACACCGACTTCAAAACTATCATGATTCATACACATGACAAGTTTATCTTTAAATATGTGTGTTAAAAGATGTCTACATTATAAACATTTTCAAGTATAACACCGACAAATAAACACATACCTGTGTTTCCGTTACGTTGAGCAGCTTGGCCATGTCCGCTCTCTCTCCGGATGAGAGGTACTTCTTGACTTCGAATAGCTTCTCCAGCTCGAAGATCTGGCGGCCGGTGAACGTTGTCCTGGCTTTCTTTCGCCTTCCCGCGGCAGTCTCCTCCCCTTCCTCGCTGGTCAGAGATCCTTCCCCGCCCAGAGGTGACCGGACGTCCTCCGTAGATTTCTTTCTCTTGATCAACTTGGATGGATCTGGAAAAATACTGATGTTATATTGTCAGAGTTATGCATATTTTCACTTTTTCTTTTTTACTGTCAATTAATGAAATAAACAGAGAAATTATAGTTAATTATATGCAAGTATTTTTAGGTGTAAGGGATCGAGAGATAGTTTTTATTTATTTATAAAGATGATGAGCTATTGCTACACGATTGCCAATCTGTGCCCCCGCTGTCACCGAGCTGCAGCATTGTATAATTACTGGCAATTACTGAACAATCACAGCCGGCATGAGAGAACGTCGCTATCATTTTGATGCGTGTACTTTTTGTACGTAAGGTTGAGGTTACATTCAAACCGCTGCAATATAAACTTTTTAATATTTGACATAGGTATAGCGTAATTAAAACGATTGGTGATATTGATATTATGTGTTTTTAAAATAATCATTACATTTGTTCACAGACTGGGAACTAAAATTCTGAATTAAATTATTTCAAATTCCACGTCCGCTCCGCTCACCACAGTGCCCATTGGTTACGCCGTACAATGGTAGTAAATGTGCAACGTGCGCGTAACACCCGGTATTCATTACAATAGCGTGCGTGTCTCAACTCTCTGCGGTAGAATTACATTCATACTACCTCGTCTTTGTTATCAATTATTTAATGCATTCTTTGTCACAACAATCAATCAACAAATAAAAAAGCCATTCGGTGACCGATCATGTATATCAACAACTACTTAAGACTTTCGGTTTAAGGACAGCTTTGGATATAATGACAATTTTTAGGGTAATAGAAGTAAAGAAAGGAGGAAGGTTTAAGTATTTTGTAGTACAGAAGTATATAGGCTACGTTAGGTTAGCTGCATTAATAATGTTATTAAATAATAAACAAAAGGAAGAATAATTTAGCGAGATCATGTGGGGATCAGTGGCGGTGGAGGCAGGACAGCTGCTCGGTCTGCGGGACAAATACCAGCTGGAGGGATTAGCGGCGGATGTTCCAGGTTTGGTTGAGCGGAATGTTCACGGCGCGAATGTTTATCTTGCCATTTTACAGGAAACATTCTGTTGATTTAACATGCTCGACTATGGCTAAAAGAGAACACCATAACTTAACTTACTAATAATTGTTACAAGGAATAACTAATGACAAACAAAAAGAGCAAGAAAATCATCCTGTATAGCCGTCTATTATCTATAACGATATCATTGTTATAAAACTCTTCATATAAAAAGAGCATAATAAAAAACGTAAACACGCGCTAAAAAGCGTGGCCCATTACGAAGCTTGTAATGTGGGCAGTAAGTCAAACAAGAGCACGTCGCGCACGACGCGGTCCGGAGCGGTAATGAATCGCGCCTCTACAAACATCGTTCGCGACATTAGGTTCTCTATTCAATAGGTGCGCAATAATATTGTAAAAAGGAGGATAGTCCTGATCATTATTATATCATTCTTTTCATGCCATATTGTATTTACTTTGTTTTAAAGCATCACTAATAATAAGTAAATAACAATATTGATATTAGAGAAATATTATTTGGCCTCTTGTAAGAATGTTGTAAATAGCAATAAGTGGATTAAAGTTGATTTCAGTCGTAGTCATTATAGCATTATCCCGTGAACCATAAAGACGGCCACAGCCGTGCGAGCTGTGAGTTATGACCGTGGCATCAAAGCGATACTTTACTGACAGGCGATTTACCGCGCCGTTAACGCATCGCACCAAACAAAATATTGAGTAATTCCGAGCCGATTGACCGATGGCAACCATTACCCTCCTCATGTTGTTAAATTAATGGAGATTTAAAACATGCATTTTGATTATACCAGTTGTGTTTCTTCTATAAAATGGTCTATTTATTTTATTGATCTATTCTTTAAATTCATTAAATTATCATCGTATATTACAAAAATGGCGCCATTTCTAGCTTAGGAATTCTAACAATCTCCTCTCGTTTTACCATACCATTTATTAATGTTTAGTGATGTGTGATGTGTGTAGTGAATTTATTTAGTTACACTATATTTTGTGGTCTCGCTAAATGCCCAAGTAAGTAGTAGCAAAGACGTCTAATTATTACGATATAATTTTTTAGATATTATTTACCTTATAATCTAAGTAAATGTAACTAACAATATGATTTCGTGGACGAAACTAACCTAACTAAACTTTTGCGTTGTTTGTGACAACAAGATAAACATGTATCTTAGAGTCACGGATTAATATTGTTTGTGATTTATTTCATACAAAGGGAAAGTGTACGTGATGATATCAGTTCGCTAAATCTGTACTTTTTTCTGCAAATAAACAACATGTATTTTCTATGAATCAATCAAAGTCAAATATTATTGTTAGGCTACAACAAGCAATAGGAAAGCTTTATGTATATTCTTACCTAAATATTAATCATAATTGTTTCAATTGTAACGCGAAAGTTATTTGAAGTCGAATGGTTAAAAAATTGCTTTAAATGCATAAAAAAAGATGTTTGTTCAGGGGGATGTCGATTCAATATTGATTTTGTTTCAAATTGCTGTATTTTAATAGATCGTAATTTAGATAAATTGTTTCAAATTAAAAGCTATTACGCTGAGTATGTCTAATGACGCACTCCCATTTCTTCTTATTTGTAAGTTCATGCTCCGAGCATAAGCCAACAGGCCGTCTAATATTAGTTGAATAAGTGCCGATTTAGATTTAATTGCGGCTTAGGTCCCCGGGGCTCGGGGACATTAATCTCGCTCGTCGCGGGGTCGGCAGGAGCTGTAAATCAATGAGCTAACGCACGATTAGAACGTCTGCAATGTCTTTGTTCCACTCACTTTTATTGCGGTTTTGAGTTGCCCCTCAATTAACTATCGAATGTGATGAAGAGATGCTTTTAAGACCACTTTTGGATTTGTTTTTTTGAAGTCAAGATACGGTTAATTTACTCAGACAGAAATAAAAATATAGATATTTCTATAATAGAAAACTTCCAATGAGAAAGACCATGTGTCTTTAAGTTATATTATAGGGTCCAACGTTCGCTTGTGTCTATGATACTGTGTCTTAAAGAAGTAATAGCTCTTTGCCCTTAACTTATAACATACTTGCCAAATTTCTCATTAATCGCAGTGTCAATATCAATAAAGCAAAGCAGACAAAGCAATTTGTATGGAATTAGTGAGCCGTGTCCCAGCCAACCGCCCTCATTACTCGACCGCGCCTGCCACTTGCCAATCGTTGCCAGTTGTCAATTGCTTGGCACGTGCCCCATTCCAGACGCCAGGTGAGAATAATTAATAAACAAAGCATTTTACACCCTTATCATACTTTAACACCCGATTGTATAATATTCCAGACAATTTAGCATATATCTAAAGATAGATTTAGCACAGGAGCTAAATGCAACTGGATTTTCTATGATTTGTGACTTATACACTTAATTTCATTGCCAATGAAGTAAATTTCGTTACGCGCGAAAGAAAATAAAAGATTTATCTATATAGGAATCGACAAATCCCTTCAGATTTTCTCAGAATTAGTAGACGATGTTAACATTTAACAAGCAAATAAAATAGTATGGCAATGCATCAACTTTGTCAAAGCTATTTAAGACAGCAAAGACGTTATGGTGCGAGGTATGCGTCGCTAAAGTTGGCGTTGAGTGTAATCTCAATAAGGCAGATGACGGACTGGGGACAGATGATAGGGAGAGCAAACTCTGGCACAAACTAGGGTCATCAGCGCTCAATATATATGTAAATTAATTTACTTTATATCCGAATATGATAGTACTTTTCTACAATATCCCAAATGCACTGTAAAAAGGATTCACTTAAACTGGTAAACTTTATTTCCATATATGAATAATTCTATGCTACTAAGATTTACAAAAATGTTTACTAAAATAACATTGGAAAATAAATTTACAAATTGGTCACAAAGCATTTCAATTTAATAAACGAATTGGTGTTGCGACAGCCCTACAGCAAGGCTATCAGGTCGCGATCTATTGACGCAATAAGCCACCACTTGCAGTACTACCACAGCCACTGCATTCAAATTCATACAAATAAATTCGATTGCTAAAAATACATCGCCAGCCCTAGCGGACGTGCACAGCTGCGACGTGCGGGTGACAACGAAACAATAATTTATAGGAATGTCTTAATTGTTCCATAGACATAGTAACAATGTAGTTTACTACATTTTGAAATTATCTTTAATAAAAATAAAATTGTAGTTGAAACCGAAAGATCTATGATGCAATGGAATTTTCACATTTTTTTTTATATTTTCGTTCAGTTTTAGTTCGTAATAAATGAATGTATTCAAATTGAATTTTATCACACATATAAATTCGTATTGTGAATTATTCCTTCATCCTTAAATCGTGTGTTCACCCTAGTTATCACGGATATTGCCTTGCGCATGACCATATCACGACAGATTAAGATCTAAATTGGCTCATCAGTGTGTTAACAGATGATAAATCCGCGACGCGTGCGGACGATCTCTATTAGTTGCACTAAGCACCGGCAATGGGGACGCTGCGCTGGAATGGTTACAGATACTCAGAAATGTAATTACGTCGATTGACTAATAGCTGTATGTTGATCATTACTCACAGTGTAATGTGCTCGGAGGTAGACTGAGAATGTGGTCATTAAGGAATATATACATTGAAGTATCAAGCAACTATACATAAAGTACATGTAAATCCTGTAAGAATGTCTAAAAGACTATCGATTCGTAGTTGTTTATACCCTCACGGTACAATCAATTTAGAGTTTTAATAAACCAAAACTTTGTAACCAAAAAATTAAAGATTCCAACAATAAAATATTGACCACATATAAATTACTCGCTCCGTCGTTGTTTGCACATTTGATTGACACAATCGTGCAATAAAAGCAAAACTATCACCATAAAGTCAGCGAGATACAATTTAGCGTGTGTTTATTTCTTCTACATTGTAGTTAATCTATTAATAAAACTTAATGCGAACATTATGTTTGAAACGTATTAAAATCGATAGTTTACACAATCGCCCATTAATTTTAAAGACGAAATCACCAGCTGTGGAGTCGCCCGTAAAGTCCCAATTACTCGACGTAAACGATTCCCAAACACACGGCCTCATCGACTTGTATTAATATTATTACCCCGCTAAATATAAACACGACGCGGCCGCAACTCTTTCGTCTAATTGACTCTGATTTACAACTTTGCCGGTTTATAGCCTGTTAGCTTTTTCGCAACTAAACGAGTTTATGTTCGAAAATGCCAAATTGAAAATAGAATTTCATCGAAAGGAAATAAGATATAATTTGGAATGTGTCAAAGAGAGAATGGAATCATTTCCTTCAGGACATATTTCGGGAGCCACCCTGTTGCGAACTTCGAGGAATCGGTTGTTTATTTTTGCGCGCGTGTGGGATTTTTGATGGTTATATCGATGTTTTGAATTTGGGAAGAAAGATTGCCGCAGGACATATTGTTTATGTTTCAAACGGCCGTCTGTTTTATGACCAACCATTTGTCTCAAACGTCGCTGTTCACGCAAATGTGAGTTTAAAAATATTATTTAAACAATATTTACTTCTTAAACGACTAAGTTAAGTCTCTATGTTGTTTTCTTCGACTTGGTAATATTTAAGTTTTCACAAGATAGATACGTTACCTTTGACGAGTTTATCTTCGTCCACGCTCCATCCGGGCGAATCCTTAGACTTTGGCACTGATAAGTTAAGAGGTTCCTCGGCTTTGCCGGCATACTGCACTGCACTGTCACTGCACTGCTCCGTCCGCGCGCGCTGCAGCAGCTGCTCTTGCAGCCGGTGCCTATGCGCACTGGTACACGCGCGCCCCCGACCCTCCTGCACCTGCACCAATCTGCTCTCTGCACTCTGCTCCTGACACACGAACTGCTTGTTCGTCTCCAAGGTTCTTTTTACGCTTATCAGCTGACCGATGGATGACTTTTTCTTTTCCTCGTGTATGCTTTGTTTGTTTGGTAATCCTAATATGTACTCTATTGTATGCGGCGTCGGCTTCTTCGGTGGCTTCCCGTATACATGTGGATGCCAAGACGGCAAACTCTCCTCTCTTTGGTTGCTACTTTCGCACTCCTCGCTTGCCGCTCGTTCGTCTACTCTGTTTTCCGTTTCGAGATCTGATTTCGTTTCATCTTCATCTGCTATAACTAATTCTCCTCTATCGTCGTCAACCTCTATCTTCTCCTCTTGGTTCTCTGGACTGTCGATTTTTTCGGCATATTGATAGTCTAGAGAGTATTCATTGGGGTAGTTGACGTCGATCAGACTGTCCCCCTTGCCGTTGAGATTCGGTGCAACGTACGTAGAGACTACAGTTTGCATTGCTTCTCCCCCTGTCTCGTGCTGCTTTTCCTCTGTGGAGTCCGGCTCGTTTTCCGCGCTCATGTGTGCTCCTCAGCCGCGATTCGTACGGAAATAGTCACTCATGTTTGTTTTTATGATTGAATTAGCGCTCGATAGGCACTCGGCGATGCGATGGCGAGAGGTCGTTTGATGTAGGCGCGGCTTTGAAGTCCGCGCCGATGTTCTCGGCTTCCTGTAACAAACAGACCGATGATTTGAGTCTTATTGAGTGAGTGAACGCGGTACTAATGGGTGGCTATGCTGATTATTAATAGTGCGGACAGCGTAGATGAAATAATTAACAAATTTATGAAGCACATGAAAACTATTGTTAAAACATCGTTTCAAATTTCACACACTATACATATCACGTCGCTTATCTAGCTTTGGAATAAATAGCTTACGATCGATGTTCTACATGTATGTGACATTTCGAATACCGATAGGTCATATATTTAATATTTAAATTGAAACAGATCTCTAAACATATCTACTTTACAACTAGTCGGTTGCTCGCGACTTTGTCAGCGTGGAATTCGTTTAAATACCCTTTATAATCGGTCCAACAGTTTCGATAATTTTGAAATGGACAGATAAATAGACAAATAAAAAATTTAAAAACGGAATATTCCTTATACGTTTCGTGAATACATCGTGTTGGTGAAATATTATCCTTCGATATTACATACAGACATTCCAATTTTATTTATTGCTTAGTAAATATTTTCGGACTGTCCGCAATTAATTCTGAACCATGGCGCACGTAGTCTGGATGAAGTCGATCTCTGTATCGGTTATTTAAAGTGCATTCCGCAATTTGCATCGTTTCCGCGTCATATTGCAGCGCGGCTCTCGTCTCATCTCACGTCTCTATTCTAATTCGATATTAACGAGCAACAGCAAACATGAAAGGCTACTTATTAGGATGATCATGTCCAACTAGTTTATATCTCAGACTATGCTATTAATATCTTTCGCATGGGACAATTATATCTGCGAAGAAATTCATAGATATGTTGTGAAGTCAACCTGCACTTCGCCAGTCACTCCTAAGTTAGGGTAGGCTCCTAGCCCCACAGTGAGGACGTAAAGTGAGCTAATAAGGCATGGTGTAATTAAAACAAAAAAGAATTTAACTTAGAAGTTGTAGGTGTTATTTTGAATGACGTTCTAGACATGATAAAAGATTATATAATCGTTAATGCATAACGGTTTAGACGCTGATTGTCTGACTTTATGATAAACACTTAATAATCAATAACCCTGGTTTTACAATATAATACTTTCAATATTTGTTATTTGCATATTGTCCGCAGAATGGACGGTTGATGGGGCCGCAAAGTCCTGGAGTGGCGGCCACGGACAGGTCGACGTACCGGGGGCAGGCCTCCCGCAAGATGGACCGGTCATCGTGGCGATCTTTGGGGGAAACTAATGCCCAGCAGTGGGCGACTCATGGCTGACAAGAACACTTGTTATATGTTATTTTATCATCATCACCAGCTCACTAATCCTCCGGACTGAGGGAGTCTAGTCTAAGTTACTAGGGATAAAGCCATAGGCAACCACGGTGGCATAATGCGGGATGCTTGACTTCACACTATTTATAAGTTAAAAAAAAAACCTTGGACAGCGGCAATTATTATGCAAGTACATGTTCGTGTAATGTTCAAATCCTGCTCCATGTGGTTATGCAAACATTTATCGTTACACTTAAACAGACGTAATTACATTTACATTGCGTTCGTTCACAAACAGTAGCTGCATGGACAAAAACAATTGCTAAACGTAGCTACAACACAATTATACTACTTATTATTTATTATCAATAGTTTTGACACTAATTGAGAGTGTGTTGCTTTTTCGGGACGATTGTAAGGTGAACATTTTAAACCAGGCTGTAGTCTGAATCTTAAGATATGCCATTTATTTAAAATACAAACTTTTAAGTCTTTCTCATCCATCTTTCATATCGTCATAAACTTTCTGAGTTCTTCTAAGTATAGATACTATAAGTTAGGCTTTTTATTCATTTATTACGAAAGTTTCCAATATTAAATCTAATCACCCTTGAAATAATCAAAATATCACCCCCGTACCTGCGAGCAAAACCACCGTGCGCTATCTACCCCCGTACTCTTAGCCACATACACACGTACACACATGTATAGACAAACTAACACACACACACACACGGCACACAGGGCACGGTGGGGCTCGACATTTGCTCATACTTTCATCAGTGACCGCTGATTGATTTTTATTGGGGAGCCGATTTAAGGTTGTGCCATGCGGACTTATTCATAAACTACTTATTTTCAAATGAGAGACAGTGGCAACTCATGGCAAAAGTAATCTTTGATTGACCGAAGAAGAATATCGTAGCTGAAGACCCCACGCCACCGGTTTGGAAAGAGCTACTCGTTTGTTATTCAGAGGCGCAGTTTCCCTAATGATCGCCGACCTTTGAAAGAAAATGTCCACTTCAAGAATAACATTAGGGCAATAGTAAGTACAGCTTTTTATAATTGGAAAAATGAAAATATATTCTTATAATGCTTGTTTTTCATTCTATATTAAAATATCACTTTAATACTTCTTAACACAATAACGGTAGCCACTTTTTCATCTTTAAGGTCCACCAATAAAGCAAATTATGAATGAAAAACACGGAGACAGCCCTAAAAAGAATTGAAACAAACCGAAGCGGAGCGACAACATAGTCGGGGCTCGAGCCGAGAACTCAGTCACATCATCGCTAAATAAAACTCTTTGTCAGACCTTTTATTGAGACAATAACAGTTATACAAACTATTACTTTCCATTTTAACAATATCTTTTTAATAACAAGTGTATAGATTGATTTTTATTTTTGGTAAAATTGGCAATTCGCTGCAGAATCGTTTTCTATAATAATTGTCGCAATTTAATCTGTGCTAAGATAAAATATATAACAGTAATTTATATGGTTTAATTAGATAAAAAATAAATAAAAAATAACAATGCTATATAATATTTTAGTACTCAAAAACAAATAAAATTAACAGCCACAAAACTGCATAGGAATAGAAGACAATCAAAATGATCGATAACTGCGGATCAATTTAAAACAATTACATGTCGGCGATTCAAAAGATTATGTTATTAATCGATATAATACGTCGACAGAACTGAGTTGCGGAAGTCCCGACGTCGACGTCGACGTGTGTGGGCCCTTTGATACCGCTCACAACTTTGTTACTGCCGTCCCTCCACTTAAACTGAGCCAAACTGTACCCTTTACCTCATAGAATAAGTATCAATCTCCTTAATATCAAGAATCGAAAAGCAAAACTATCACGGTTTTATTATAATTTTAATAGAGACCGTCGGAAGTTACAAGGCACTCGCGAATCCAACATGGCCGCCTGACAGAACGACTCTCAAAGCAAATGGCCGCGTTAATAGTTACATTTCCTGAATTAATTTACGTTTTTAATCTTCTTTGATTTTGTTTAATATTGTGAACGGTTAATGTTGTCAGTGATCTGGGAATAGCGACAGAATGCCGGATACTGCCCACTTACAAAACATCATACGGATGTTAAAAACATATAATGCGATACGACAAACAGAAATTCGTGAAACCACTTTAGCTCGCGATGTACTTTTTATTGAAAGAAATTAAAACATAATTTTACCGACACAGAGGCAATTTAATCATTGCACAAACTTTAAAAACAAAAATTACTACCATGGTTTTTCATTCAAATTTTCATTTTTAAATCTAACGAACAAATCTTATTCGCTTAATCTAAATCTTCGTCACTTTTATAGCAAGCTTTTCTATACTATTATTGAGTTATAGTTAAAGAAAAAAACAAATATTTTGTTATACTTTTACATATTTAACAAAGGATCCCTAAACCTCCTACCTAAGTAATGTCAAGAATACCTAGAGCTTGTATTTCTCAGTATACAGGTACTGGCGTCATCAGTCACCGATCACAGAGATGGAGTCTCCAATTGACATTCAATTACCATTCTTATTTGTATAACAATAATGTTTATAGTCGTGTAATATCGTATAAAAGGTCACGCTCATGTTGTTTTGCAATTAGGCTTAATAAATGCATTGGAAAGTACGTGTTAGATGTTTATAATAATTGTTCGCTGCGGTATGTAGATTCAAATTACGATTATAATGTTGGCTGTCAGTTACGATTGACATTTGTCACAGATAAAGCAAAAGGTAACGCGCGTTTTGTAACTACGCAGATAATTATCTGTTTTCAATTCCTTATAATGATACAAACGGGGAAATACCTTAATTCTATTAATAAATATTTATAGTGCATTTAAATATCAAGTTACAAAGTTTAATATTTATAATAAATTTAAAACTGAATATTCACTAAAATTAAGTCATTAATAATTAATAGTATCAGTTAGAAACTTTTTAAGTTTCGCTATCTGTTTCATTTGTATGGCTACAAGCAATGAACATCGAACATTGGATTGCCAAAAATTGTGACTTAATTAACTTATTATATTTACTACCCGTACCCGTGACTTCGTCTGCATGAAATACTGTCTCGGGTAACATTTAACGAATTAAACTAATTATTATACTTATAATCAGACTATCCGAGTACCATGTTTCATTTAAATCGGTTCAGTAGTTTTGCCGTGAAAGCGATACAGACGCGACTTATTTTCACATTTATCATATTAAGTAAAGATTTAACTATCATACATGTAAACATGGTAGAAAGTAACTATAGATAACCTGCAATTTTCATACAATCATTTAAAATCAACTTAAATATCTAAGCTGCAGATATGGATAGTCAACCCTGACATGTCCGCAGTGCTATCTGACGTCACAGCTCTGTGGTCGGCAATTAGGCCGAGTACAGGCTCATTGCGCGGATATCCCTTAATGCAATTACATCTAGTTTAATATAACTAATCGATCTCTGACTTGCCGCATGTATTTACCATGCTAAACATGCGTGATACATTCCACCCAGTTTATATAAATCTTTTTCCTTCCAAGTTTATAAATTACCTTTGCCCGAGACTTTGTCAGCGTGTAATTAAAAAAAAATAAGTAGTAGTCTATGTGTTCTTCCAGACTATGTTCTATATCTATAAAAAAATTAGCGAGATCCATACAGCTGATCTGGAAATACCTTATAACAAACATCCATCCATACAACCAACCATTAGCATTTATAATATTAGTAACAAGTAAGATATGTCTATTATAATTTAATTGTTGTTATCAGAAATAAGATTGATTTGTATTATGGTTTTTCTATAAACTATTGTAACGAATTGAAGAATTATTTGACAGGTGAAAAACTTTGAAAAATAAAATACATTCAGTATTAAATTAAGAATTTATTAATAGATTATTTAATTCTTTGTGATAAAATAATCCCATTACAGCGATAAGTAACTTTAAGAACATTTGATTACTAGCTATCGCCCGCGTCTCCGTCCGTGCGGAATTTAAAAAAAAATTAAATAACAGCGTAATTCTTCCAAACTGTGTTCTACATCCATGCCAAATATCATTAAGATCCGGTGTGTTGATACCTTCAACAAACATTCTTTAACATTCATTCAAACATTCATTAACTTTCGCATTTATATTATTAGTAATATTGTTTAATTATTACTTAGAGATATTAAGTGGTCATTAAAGAATTGTTAAACAACTAATAACTGTGTGTCAACAGAGCGATCTGTTCAGTAAAGTTTTATTAAAAGTAACAATTTGTTGGCTCATAGTTTTTTATAGTGGTCAATCTCTGACGCGACTCCTGCTCAAATTTCTAGACACTCCGCTACCATCTCTGATTTCATAAAAAACATTACTAACGATAATTTCCACTACTGAAAGAGCATATGAAAAAAAAGACGAAAATATATTTTTAACAAACTCAAATACTTAAAGCTTTTAAACGTATATTATATATAGTTTTGAATGTTCCGTTACTTCATTATGAATTAGTATTAAAACTGCAATTAACTTGTAAAGAGTGAATTCAAATCCTCTAGACGATGAGGCAATGCCAACTAGGTCACTCTTTAGGTATTACAACGAAATCTAGTTCTTCACCTGTGCAATTAAGCTAATTAAGAAATGATACCGTTTTACTTTTATTCTAAAACTAACTGTCGCCCGCAACTCCGTCCGCGCGAAAATAAAAATAATCTTAATTATTATATGAGTTTTTCCAGATTATGTTCTACATCTATGCAAAATTTCACCGAAAACCAATAAGCTGTTTAGGAGATATGTAATTTTTAAGAAACATCCATCAAAATTTTCGCATTTATAATATTAGTAAGAAGTACTTTATTTTACTGTTACCTAGTATCTTATCTAACAATTCTTATTATTGACTAGCAAAAGAATCCTTTGTCTACATAACATTGAGAAAAAAAATCTGCAATCCAATTGGATTTCAAATCGAAATAAATATCTCAACATTATATCAACATTGCCGGTTAATGATGCAACAGTTATGATATGTACATTTAATATGGTAATTACAAACAAACAGACTAACATTAGTCAAGCTAGGGCTTGTTACAAAAGGCTTGTCAGTGCAAGAGTGTTGTGTACATAACAAAGTGATTAAACAATCCATGTAATACCGCGATAACGCAATGACACGCATATTCACGAAATTGTCATTTACATTTCATAATATATATATCAAGAAACTTTTAAATTACTTTCTTCAAATATTCTAAACAAAAAAATATATAATTGAGGTAGTCGATATGTTAATAAAGTTTTTTTTTACCTAAAATAAATTTCAGTTCCATTAATCAAATTAAAGTTTATCCAAGTTTTGTTTGTAAACATGATATGAAAAATATTAATAAAAACTTGTATTAAATCAAATAAAAGTTATCACAACATTTTACAAGATAATTTCGATCCGTCAACATTAATCTATCAATCTTCATATCATAACTCAATCAAAATTTAGCAATACTCACCGAACAAGTCCAATATCCGTGACATAAATCACTCGCACGTTCACGTTCAAAATTATAAAAAAAAACACTTTGACGCACAGATTAAATAACTCGAATAAAGATTAAATAAAACGAAAACAATCAGTGTTTCGGAACGATTCGTGAATGGGCCACTTCCGAGCTCGAGTGTCAACGCATTGTGGCGGGAACAATAGCGGCGGGCGGCGGGCGGCGGGCGGCGGGCGGGAGACGCTTGTGGAGCGATTGTCGTGCGACGGAACGCGGGCCGTACTGACGCTAGCCCTGTGTGGGTGTGCGGCGTTAGCGCGTATATACACAGCTGTGCGCCTGTGTGCCTGTGTGTTGTGTGTGCCTGTGTGTGTGTGTGGACAGAGAGTTGTTGCCGCGGCGATCCTCGCAGTTAGACTAACTCACATCCAAATCGCTTAATTTTATGAGTTGTTGCCTTCTCCACCCCCTCGCTGGCAGCAAGCGTACTGACCTTTGCACGGCGGCATTATTTAAATACTTTCGTTTAATAAGCGATTATATAAAAAGATTACGCATCCAAACGTAAACATGCTGATTACATGTACTTAACTTCATATCGAATAAAAAAATTAAAATCTTTATTTTAATGAATGACACAAATTTTGAAACTTAAAAAAAATTAAGTGTAAGCTTACACATTTAAAAGTAAATCTAAGGTTGTGTACGCACCTCAAAATGTGTTTTCATAAATTAGCCTAAATAATTCTTGCTTTTGGGCTAACTGATTACATTAGAAATATTTTATTTTACGAAAAAAATAAACTAAAATTGTATTACATAACTAATTAATACTATTTATATAACAATGAAGCCCGCAATATCAGCAATACTTCAGAGTTACTAACAAATAACTAATTTATCGATAATGCAGAAAAATATAATCCCGAGCCCAATCATTTAATATATCTTATAATATAAAGATTAAAATTCATTCAATTATCATTCAAAAATGGCTTATGATAATAAAATATATGATATAAATAAACACTATTGAGGCGCAGATAAAAAACAAATTTAATTTATCTCTAATAACTGTTGATCTTGACGTATATGTTTTTGATGCAATAATACAAAGAAGAATCAATAAAAAGATTAAAGATAATTAAAACACAAATATAAAATTATATCCAAAATTTTCTCCAAATTCTGAATTAGAAGTTTGAAGAACAAATTTAAAATGTATAATACATTTATAAGATTATTCAAAAACCTTTTACATTAGACCTATAAAGTACATTTTTCTGACTGAATACACTTGTGCTAAAAATTCAATAAAAACTATTAAAATAAAAAAATAAATAAAAAAAGGTACGCCATGACAAAGTTCAGTCGCTCGAGGCGTTTAGCGCCGGCACAGTGGCAGTGGCAATAACTCAGCGCAGGAAATCACGTCAGCGCTCAGTGACGCACACACGCGCACCGCACGCACACACACACGCCTCGCCTGTTGCACGCTCCTATTGCACGCACGGGATGAAATGGTGCAACGATTTAATACATTTTTATTGACTTAATTTAGTTATTAATTAATAGACTTCAACACTATTTATATTGGATGTCTGAATATTAAAATACTGAAATGTAATTAAATGTACATTTTTATTGCAAATAAATATGTTTTAGACATTGACAGACTAATTGGCACCTCGAGTATATCTAAAAGTTTGAATTTATAATTTAACGATTCTCAAACTCCAACATTCTGTTACAAATTATCATCGATTATCATTGAAGAACTTTAAGTTAAAATAGAATCATGAAATATACTATTTCTTAATGTAACCACAGATAATATAATGCAACGTTTGTTTACTACAAGGATATCACTTAATTTGTAAATATTTATGCTACATCTATTCTAGAATACATAAAAAAATTGATTATCAAATTATCAAGGTCAGCAATCAAAAGTCGTTTTATTTGTTACTCCAATATAAATGTAGTTAAAAAAACTAATCCGTCTTGGATTTTGATGACTTAACTTAATTTGTATAATCTGTAACAATAACGTACGACTGTACACGATTTTAATGCATGATTATTGTTGTAACAAACATATACACAAGCATGTATTATGATAAAATTGTTATTAGATAATAAACAATGATAACATCAATTTAAGGGATTAACACATATAGCACATTAATTCAAAAGCCATTTACTAAATTAAATCTTGTGATAAACGTTTTAGATAATTCCTTATCTTGTGTTTATAATTGTATTTTTTTGCTATTATATTGTATAGAATTATTTACTTTTAATAGTGATAAAATAAAAAATGACTAACACTGTAGACCATTTCAAATACAAAATTGGAAGACTTGTAAAATTTTAGGACAGAGATTTTAGAAATAAAAAGTAATTTCAAGTTAAATATTTCATTAAACATCCCTTTCTTGTTTCAAAAATAATCTACTCCATAAAATAAATCGATTCGTTGCACCATAACTTAGTCGATATGTAATAAAGGTAATTGTGTGCGTAACTATGGGCATATCATTGTGCTTGCGTAGACGCGACGATGCGATGCGATGCGTCGCAATTAACCTTCTGTTTCAACAACATGACGTTGTGAATATTTTGTTAACTTTAATTAGGCTTTTTAATTAACTGTATCGCTTTATTAAATAACTTTAATAAAATAGTTAAAGTAATGAATCGGGTAATCAAAGGTGATAATGATAAGTGAACTTAATTATTGTTTAATCTTTTACATTATCTTTTAAATTTCTTTAAGTTAACACGAATATTTCTAAGACGTTTGTAAAAACGTCTTATTTTTAATAAGTAAAGTCAAAGTTTAAAATATTTACGACACTTGAGCTGTAACAATAACATCTACGGCGTAGCAAATGCTACGCGCCCTTCCTATTTCGCTTGCAAATTGCTTATGAAATGTCTAAACGTAGCACACATTGTGATGTATTTATTGTTTGTATGAGTTATGTGTATGGGTGAAATAATAACAGAGAATGCACAGCTGTCTTTGTGCTTTATGTTGCTTTGTCAACTAAATGAAATTACTAATAAACTTCCTATGAAATAAAACATACAAAACTATCGCAAAGAAATTCGTAAACATCTCTTACTTATTGGTGTTCTTAAAAATCTAAGCGTATAAATACTTAAGTCAGATATTTGTAACCATTCCAAATAAGATTGAAAGTTAGTTAGGCGTTATTTAAAATAAATTTGAATTTAATTTTTATATTCTTCACAGTACTGTCGTAATGGTAATGATATGCGGGCGACGCCGCGCTATTAACTAAGTGATCATAATGTTTATTGTCAGTTTTATGAGTTCTGTGAGTCGTTTGGTAAGTCCAGATAGTTCCCAGAATTCCTGCCTCGTATATTAGTATTTATTAGTATTTCAAACATCATTTCGTCATAAAAAATATAGTAACTAATTTTAATATCACGTGTAAGACTTTTGAAGTCTACCAGGATTGTGTCAAATAGTAATTTTTATCAACCTATTAGCCTTTATATAATTACTAGCTATCGCCCGCGACTCCGTCCGCGCGGGATTAAAAATAGATGTTGGCCGATTCTCAGACCTACTCAATGTTGAGCATATTGAGAAAATTTCATGAGAATCGGTGAAGCCGTTTCGGAGGAGTATGGAAACGAAAATTGTGACATTTAAACGAATATTTTATACATACGCAAATATATTTATGCAATAGAAATGAACACTGCAAAATGGTAAAGTGGGGTGAGTGAAGACGGGACTTTGATTCAAATCTCAATCCAAAGACAATTTCCTTTAAATTGTAACTACTTATAATTAATTGGTTGTCCTTATTTAAAAACGTCATCATAAGAGTCCTGTCAAAAGCCACAAAAAATGGGTCGACGATTCAACAGTGTACAAAAAACTAATATAGGTAACCTTTTTTTTAACAGACTATTAAGAGCGAGTAATTAAATAGAGTATTCAGTTAATCGCTTCGGGTTTGGCGTGAAAAAATATAGATGAAAAAACTGTACAAACATCTTCATCACGTGTGAGCATTTTTTGTGCTGACGAGGACTTTGAAGGCCATTAAACTATTAAAAGATCGCATTTTTTGAGTTATTTTCGTCGTGAAGCTTAAATAACAATTATATTAAGCCATCCAGTGAGGTAAATAACAACATTTCTACGTCACACAATTGAAAAACAAATGACGAAACGTGGCGAAAAAATATCTGATGAGTAATAATAAGCTAATTAGAGGACGGCAAAGTTAATGGCATAAATGAAACTAAATAGTGATAGCTCACTAGCGCCCCCCTGACAATGTCAAAAATGTCACACGACCCTTGTAGTACTGTAGCTGTCTTTTCATTTTCTAATGTTTTTGCTATACTTATGTAGCTTTTACATATTTTCTGATAGATAACACAATATAGCACACAAATAGCCCAACGAAACAGACGCAGCGATCGTGGAGGGAGGGAAGATCGGTAAAGTTCCATAATGCTTCTACCTCCATGACCATAGGTTTTTGTAACTAGAAAAAAATATATATTGCAATTTAGCATAAGAGATATCTGCAAAAAAGTGTAGGAACCAAGAGTATGTTTATGTCGTTTGCTGTTTAATTAAGGCATTAGCAGCGCCTCTTTTACCAGCCCAGACAAGCTAATCGAACTATACCTGATTATTATATTAATATCAATTAGTGAAGATATTAGTTAATTGATAAAAACTGTTATAGTTTTCACTTAAACGAGATTAAATTAAACGTTAAATGTTGTTGAATACATAAAATAAATTGCAACATAAAGTTTTATCAAACGACACATGTATACAATAGCGACACATTAGCGATGATAACACGTATTGAAAATTAATAACATTTTCCTATAAACACATATATGTCATTAAGTGCTTAGATTGCAAAATATCACGCATATATACATATAAATAAATTTTGGAATGTCTGTATGGTAACATCGAAAATAAAACATACATCGCGAATACTTATAATAAAAATCCAGTTTAAAATTCGTTTGTCTCTTATCTGTTCGCAACTCCGCGTTTGTTCCGCATAATGTTCGTAACAATTGGCCCTATATTGCCGGAACTTGGATAGGAAGGTAACTCTTGTATGCGTGCATAATTAAAAGCTAATTTCTAATATTTTTTAAATCTACACAGAGGAAGTCGCGACCGACCGCTAGTTAAACATAA